GGCCAATCAGTCCATGAAGAATGTCATTGCTGGCCATTAGAGAAATGCACACTACAACAGCGCTGAGATTCCATCTTACCCCAGAAACAATGGCTAGAACCAAGAATCCAGCTAATAACAAACCCTGGGGGGCTGCGGGGGAGGGAAGCCCTCCCGCACCGCCGGTGGGGACTGGTACAACCACCGTGGAGATCCGTGTGCAGATTCCTCAAAAAGAACTAAAACTAGAAATTCTGCTTGACCCAGCTATCCCCCTTCTAGGCATCTTTCTAAAAGAGTTAAAGACATCGTGTGACAGTGACCCGTGCACACTCATGCTCAGAACACAACACACAACAGCCAGATCTCGGCCCCTGCCTAGCTGCCGTCCACAGAGGAGTGGGTAAAGAAACAGTGGTGTTTGTATAGAATACTATTTGCCATAAAGAAGGGTAAACTTGGGGCCGGGCAGATGGCTCAGCAAAAAAAAAAAAAAAAGAAAAAGACAAAAAAAGAAAGGCAAACTTGAGTCCTTTCTAAGGCAGTGCATGCACCCTGAGACCAGACGTTAAGTGACAAAAATAGGCTCACAAGCATCAGTACAGCTGGCTTCCTCTTCCATGAGAAACCCAAAGTAGAAATAAATCAAAGAGCAGAATGAAAGATAGATAATAGGAAACAGGAAGAGAGATCTTCTGCAAAAGGGAAGAAGAGGGGGAATGGAGGTGAAAGCATTAAGATGTGTTATGGCCAGGTATGGTGGCCATCCCAACACTTGGGAGGCTGACGCAGGAGGATCTCTGAAAGTTTGAGGCAGCTTAAACTACATAGCAAGGCCCTGTTTCAAAAATTAAGCAAAAGGGGGCTGGTGAGATGGCTCAGTGGTCTAAAGCGCCTATTTGAACAAGCTTAGCAAAGCAAAGGGACCACGGTTCAATCCCCCAGCACCACATGCCAGCCAGCTGCAGCCCCTGGTGGGCTGAGCTGGCCACACACACACATAAATAAAATTAAAAAAAAAATTAAGCAAAAGGGGGCTGGGGAGATGGCTCAGTAGAATAAGCACTTGCCTGGCTAGTGCAAGGGCCTGAGTTCAATCCCCGGTTCTGCCAAAAATAAAATTAAGCAAAAGGGCGGGCCAGATAGCTCAGTGGATTAAAGCACCTGCTTAAGCAGATGCAGGGACCGGTTTGATCCCCGGCATGTGCCGGCCCAGGGTGCACTGAGATGGCCATTGAGACTGGGCATGGTGGTGCACATCTGTAATCCCAGCTGTTGGGAGGCTGAAAACAGGAGGATCACTACAAGTCTGATCTGTTCAGTGAGTCCCTATAGACCCTGTGCCAAATACACTTAAAAAATAAGCCCAGAGGAAAGGAGTGCCCAGCATGGGTAAGGGGGGGGGCATGGAAAAGGAGACAAAGGCCACAGCCTTTGGTGGTGGCCTCTGCAGTAGCACGGTACCTCCTGGGTTTCTTTGTCCCCTCCCTTCCTGTTTCCTGGGCACAGGGATCCAGCCAGGCAGCCCTGGGCTGAGACCTGGAGGAGCCCAAGCCAACCCACTCTCTAGCTCCAAGTTGCTCTCGGGGTACTGCAGCCTTGACAGGAAACTCTCACTGTCTCCGGGGTCCTTGGGCTGGAGGATGGGGCGCTTACCTCATAGACCGGGGCATCCGGCCCTTCGAACTGGAGACCTGGCGCCATGGGGGAGAGGAGAGAATTGCTATCAAAAAGGACCCCAGAGCTCTCCCCTCCCTCACAGACACATCCCTGAGAGCCCCTGAGTGTCACCTCCTAGGCACATGTTAGCAGCCACTCCCGGCCACCATGGCTGCCAGCGGCACCATCCTCCATTCGGTGCCTGAGACCCCAGGGCCCTTCTGGATTTGGGTGCTGTGAGTACCTGCTGCCCAGAGGCCATCTCTGTCCCCGGGAAGGCGACAGCAGGTGTGAAGGGGTTTCCCCTTAGAGACAGGAAGTAGAGGCACGCCTGCCATCCCGGCAGGGAGGCTGGGACAGGAGGACCCCCAAAGCCAGCTTCCCCCCAAGGTCCTTAGAGGCACACACATTTGCACCCCAAGAACAACGGCTTCCTTCAGCTCTTGTAGCTCCCGGTCGTGGCCGCACGAGGGCGCTGTCTCCACGGACGCCGCGCCTACCTGGGATGGGCACTGTGTGCAGGGGCATCACGGCCAGGCCATGCACCGGGTACCCGAAGGGCAGGTTGGGCTGGGCCAGCAGCGGCGGGGGCTGGGGCAGCCCCTCTCTGCGGGAGAAGCGGATGTGAGTGACAGCCCTGACGCTCCCGGGGGCCCTTCACGCTCCCCAAGACAAAGCCCACAGCTCATTCCAAGAGGTACTGAGGCGATTTAAAGCAAAACATTTTTGAAAGCACAGTCCACAGGCTCGGGGAGCTGAGGCAGGAGGATCGCCATGAAAAGAAAAAGAAAAAAGGAAAGCTGAAGCCCTCAGTCCGCTCCGCCTGGGCTCCCGCTCGCCCCACGCGCTGCTCCCGCACCCAAGCCGGCCCGCTGGCTTCACCTCCTCTGGAAGTGCTGGTACTCGGTGCGCCTCCTGGCGTCCACCGTGGGGAGGTCGCTGTCCTTGTAGGCCCTCCGGAAGTTGAATCCTCCCTGACTCTGCATGTTTTCGCACGTGCACTGGTTTTTAGGAAACAGCCTAAAACAAGCGAGAGCCGGGTGAGGTGTCGCACGCCTGCGACCCCAGCACCCCGGGCTGGGGCTGCATGGCGAGACCCTGACTCGAGCAACAACCCCATAAGGGCACCGCGGGACCCTGCGCAGAGCGCTCGGGGACGCACCAGAGCCCATCGCGGGAGAAGAGGCCCCGGATGCGCTGCTCGGGCAGGAGGCTGAGCGAGGCATCCCCCGGGGTGGGCGGCAGCGGGCGCCCCGGCTCGACGCTGGGCAGCACAGCTTGAAGGAAGCCACTTCTGAGCAGGATGACAAGGACACCAAGGCCGAGTCCGAGGAGCACCACCAGCCTCCTGAGGAGCCATAGGAACCTGAAGCTGCGGGGACACAGAGAGCGGAATTCAACTCTTTGCCGAGGGTGGAGCTGGGCCTCTGCACAGGCTGAGCGAGCCGCGCGGGGGCGCACCCACCTCCGCTGAGACACACCCCCCCCTTCTTTTCCTAAGACAGTCTCACTGCGTAGCCCAGGCTGGCCTCCGACTCACAGCAGTCATCCTGCCCAGCCTCCTCGGTGCTGGGATGCTTCTCCTGTCTTTAACAGATGAAGGTCCAAGATATATAAAGCAAGCTGAGTGTGGGGAGGCACACCTGTCATCCCAGCACTTGGGAGGCTGAGGCAGGAGGATTGTCACATTTGAGGCCATCCTGCTGGGCTACATAGTGAGCTCAGGGGCAGACTGAACTATACTGCAAGAACTTGTCTCAAAAAGGGGGGGGGGCTGGAGAGATAGCTCAGTAGATTAAGCACTTGTAGATTAAGCACTTGCCTGGCAAGCGCAAGGTCCTAAATTCAATCCCTGGTACTGCAAAAAAAACAAACAAACAAAAAAAAAAAACAAAAAACAGAAAGTTGGGGTGGGGGAAGATAGCTCAGTGGAATAAGCATTGCCTGGCAAGCACAAGGTCCTGAGTTCAATTGCCGGTTCCGCAAAAAAAAAAAACCCTGGCCATAGTCAGTACATAAAGCTGCAATAAAACAGGACCAGTTCAATCACACATCCACCATGTTACCCAAAGGCAGCCTTGTGCCAAGCCACCTCCTCAGCCACATGGAAATTGTAAGAAGGTCTCCAAGCAACTCCAGCTGTAGTCTCAGCACTTGGGAGGCTGAGGCAGGGGGACTGCTGCGAGTTTCAGGCCAGCCTGCACTCCACAGAGAGACCTTGTCTCCTCCTTTAGCTCCATTCTGCACCTGGACTGCTTCCCAACTCCTGGTCCTGCCGACCAGCACCCAGCACCCACCTTGGGTCACCTCTAGAACTCTCTCTGCCTTCACATTCATTCCCATGCTAGGATGCTACTCACAGTGAGGAGATTCCGAGGCCGGAGGGTACACACCTGGAGTCCCGCGTACTCACTTGAGACCAGCCCGGGGCCATCAACTAACCAGACCCTGGCTTAAAACCAGCTGTTTGACTTGGCTTAATTGCACAGTAGCTCTTCCTTGAACATTTGCTTTTCCAATACTGGAATTTGAACCCAGGGCCTTCACACTGACTTGTATCCCCAGCCCTTCTTGTTTTTTATTCTTCTTCAAGACAGGGTCTCATTAAGTTGCTAAAGGCTGAGCTGGAACTTGTGATCCTCCTGCCTCAGCCTCCCAGAGAGGCAACGATACAGGGAAAAAAACTGGTCTTGGGTGGGTGACCTCCAAATGACATAGGGCTCTGGACCTGACCTGCACAAGTTCGTGTTCTCTAAAACCGAAGAATGAATTCTAGGAACAAACAGAGGCTATGAGTAGAACATATTTATTGAGAGAAAGAAAGCTCCTGTCCTGAGAGAGGGACAGGAGGGGGGGGGCGAGCGGGTAGTTCCTCCCAGGAAGTTGTCTCTTCTTTTTTTTTTGGCAGAACCAGAGAATCAAACTCTGGCCCTTGCACTTGCCAGGGAAGCACTTATTCCACTGAGCCATCTCCCTGGCCCCCAGGAAGCTGTCTCTTGCAGGGACTTTTATAGAGGAAAACCATGTGGCGAGGCGGGTCTAAGGTGGCGGAGAAGACATGGGAGCTCGCTTAGCTGGGCAGGAGGTGGGACAAAACCATGGTCAACCAATGAGATTACAAGCACCATTGCTCAGGTAAAATTGATTAAGTCCAGTATCAAATGGGAAAGCGAGTCACGTAGCAAGCGGGCACGAATAGGGAACAGGGTCTCTTCCTGTTGGGGGTTGGGCTAGTGACTCATCTGGGCTCTTCCAAGGTGATTGAAACTGTTTAGGACGTCAATCCCTGATGCCCATCCCTAGGGAAGTATGTTGCTGTGCTTCCTCTTTGTCTTGGTCTTCAGGTGTGGCCCGTACGGGAGTGTCTGTCTCTTCCAAGCTGCAGAGTCGCCTCGTCTTCCATCTTGTCTCCTTGAGGGCCTGGCCCTGTCTGCCTGCCTACGGTATTTCTATCTAACTCGGCTGCCTACAACAGCAAGATTATGACTATGCTATTACTTTTTGTCAGATGTTCAGAAACTTTTTATAATTTTTAAGTTGTTTTAGCTATGAGAACAAAGCATTGCTATCTATTAAATCCAAGGGCATGGGGGCTGGAGAGATGGCTCAGTGGTCTAAGGCACCTACTTGGAACAAGCTTGGCAAAGCACAGGGACCGCGGTTCAATCCCCCAGCACCCCATGCCAGCCAGCCGCGCCCCCTGGTGGGCTGAGCTGGCCACACACACACACACACTAAATAAACGTAAAAATAAATAAATAAATGATTATTAAAAAATAAATAAATAAATCCAAGGGCAGATCCTGGTTCAAAACAACTAAGCAGCCAACAACATTGGAGAGGCTGAGGCAGGACAACCACCAGGCATTCAAAGCCAACCTGGGCTGTACAGTGAGATCCTGTCTCAAAAGCAAACCAAAACAAAACCAAACCCCAATTAACAAACAAGCCAATGAAAATCAGTGAGCTGCGGTGCCAAGGCGCTCCAGTAGTGGCCTACTTGTCCTACCATGTGGGGGTCTCACTGCCCACTCCCGGATCTGTCCAAGGCTGCCAGCTGGATCCAGGTGAGCTACATCCGGGTTACTTCCTGGCCCACCTGCCGCGTTTGTCCAGGTAACCACATTGTACAATTAACGGTCTAGGGTTAGACTTTAACCAGGTTTAATGGGGACTATTTTTGGTCTCCTGTCGTCTCATGGTGCTCACTTATGAACTTGGTTTTGAAAACCTACCGCACATGAAAGTACATGTTCTAATGGTTCTAAAACAAAAAATGAAAGGCTTAGCATTCACTAAATGCTGATTTTTGGATGACAGGGCCTAGAAAAGTGGAGAAGACAATTATTTTAGTAAAAAATATCTTTTGTATCCACAGAACACATAGAATATGCCCTTGGATTTAGTAATGTTTGAAAGACAGCAACATTTTTTTAAAAATGTATTTATACAGAATCTACAGGATCTCACTACACAGATCGGACTCATAGTAATCCTCCTGTTTTCAGCCTCCCAAGCGCTGGGATTACAGGTTCACACCACTACCCCTGGTCTCAGTTGCCGTGTCAGCTGCCCCTGGGGCATGGCCCACACTGCCCGCTGCGTACAATACTTTGTTGACGTTTTTCTTTTCTTTTTATTTTTTTATACCAGGGATTGAACTCAGAACCTTGAATTTGCCAAGAAGGTGCTATGCTGCTGAGCTACATCCTTGGCCCTAACGATGCTTTGTTATCGTAGCTAAAAGAACTTCAAAATTATAAAAAGTTTCTGAATGTCCAACAAAACTTAACACAGAATGTGCCCATAATCTCTCAAATTCCAGCTCAGCCTTTAGCAACTTAATAAGACCCTGTCTTGGGGCTGGTGAGATGGCTCAGTGGTCTAAAGCACCTACTTAGAACAAGCTTAGCAAAGCACAGGGACCGCGGTTCAATCCCCCAGCTCCACATGCCAGCCAGCCCTGCCCCTGGTGGGCTGAGCTAGCCACACACACACACACACACACACACACACACACACACACATATAAATAAATAAAAAAATTTTTTAAAAAAAGACCCTGTCTTGAAATAAAAATAAAAGGGCCGGCGAGATAGCTCAGTGGACTAAGCACCTGCTTAGGCTTGATCCCCAGCACCACATGCCTTGCCGGGTGCACTGAGCCAGCCTCCAAGACCAGGCATGGTGGCGCCACCTGTAATCCCAGGGCTCGGAAAGCTAAGACAGGAGAATCATTAGGAGTCTGAGCTGCGTAGACCCTGTACCATATACATAAAATTAGGAAGATAAGAAGGAAGGAAGGAAGGAAGGAAGGAAGGAAGGAAGGAAGGAAGGAAGGAAGGAAGGGAAACGAAACCCAAAGAGGCTACAGATGTAACTTGGAGTGCAGACCCTGGATTCAATCGCCACTACTGGGCAAAGAAATATTCAAGAAAGGGGCCACCATGCAATAAAGTGGGCAAGCGCAAGGGTCTGAGTTCAATCCCTGCTTCTGCAAAAACAAATAACAAAAACAAAAAACAGCAAAACATGGAAAGAACTCTGCCAGTCCATTCTCCTCAGGGGGCCAAGGCTGTCAACTCAGGTTCCAGGGATTCCAGGGTGCAGAGACTGAGCTGGAAGTGGAGGCAGCCAGAACCGGAATTCAGCTTCCTCTTGGCGGCAGAGGGCTCCGGTTCCCCATAAAGGACCACAATAACAATGTCAGTCCAGCCCTGTGCACCCACCAAACCAAGTGAGCAAGGCTTGCCTTTTGCTTTACAAATAAACTTCATAACGAGCTGGGTGTGGTGGGCACACCTGCCATCCCAGCACTTAGGAAGCTGAGGCAGGAGGATCGCCTTGAATTTTAGGCCAGCCTGGGCTACACAGTGAGTAAAGGACAGCCTGAACTCCATGGTGAGACCCTGTCTCAAAACAAAACAAAAGAAAAACAAAAAACCTTCATGCCATCTGTGGGCTTTACCGTCGTAACCCCTCTGTGAAGCAGGACAGCAAAAAAGAGCCCGAGGAGACAGCTAGGCAGCCGGCAGTCCCAGCTCCTAAGGGGACCAAGGAGAGAGTTCAAGGCCAGTTCAGGCAATGTACCACGCGCCTTTTAACCAAGTTAAAACAAAGAAAAAAGAAAACCAACACCTACGAGAAAGGCAGAACTATTTAAATATGCATTAAAACGTTAAAGGTACCTGCACAGGGAAGACCAAGAATCAAGGCAAGACGAGGATGCTCCTGAGAAGTAGGGAGCGGACAGGGCTGTGACTCCGCAACCAAGCGCTCGCCCAGAAGTACCAGACAGATGCTGGCTCTATGCCCGGGACGGCGACAGAAAGAGACAGAGGCGAAGACCCGGGATGCGACGGGATTAGGACAGGGGTAGCGTGGCGGCTCGGGTGGGCGGGAGCGCCGCGGCAGCCGCACGCCGACCCTGGAGAGGTCGCGGCGGGAGGCTCTGGCGGAGGCGCGGTCGGGAGGAGAGGACGGCCCGCCGCGGTGGGCGTCTCGGCGGGGGGCGCCGAACCTCCTCCCCTTGCGCTTGCTGCATGACTCGCGGATCCACTTGATCCCCATTTAACCAGTATGACCCAAGCGGCTAGCCTTGTTGTCACCCACGGTTCAGTCCCAGCTCACCCCCGCCTTGTGGCTTCCCATTGGCTCGATATTACTAAGCGACTACTCTTTTTTGGTTTGGTTTGTTTTTTGGCGGAACCGGGGATTGAACTCAGATCCTTGAGTTTGCCAGTCAAGCGCTTATCCTACTGAGCCATCTCCCCGGCCCCTAAGCGACTACTCTTGTAATTTATTTTTATTTTTTTTCCTTTATTATTATAAGTATTATTAGTTTTTTTGTTTGTTTGTTTGTTTGAGACAGGGTCTCGCTACGCAGCTCAGGCTGGCCTTGAGCTCACTTTGCAGCCCAGACTGGTCTAGAAATCACAACGATCCTCTTGCCTCAGCTTCCCGCGGGCTGGGAGACACTCGTAGTCCTACTTATTGGTTACAGTGCAGTCCCAGCTTAAGCCTGCCTCACCTGGCGGTTCTGCTCCAAATACCTTCAGAAGCAGGGCAGTGGGCAACCCACTTCCCAGGCCCCCCTTTGATTCTCTTAGGGGGACTTTTCTTTCAATAAATTGTTCCTACTCTTAACCTCTATCGTTTCTAGAATCCATTCTTCAGTTCTAGACAGCATGAAAGCGGCCTTTTGGACACGGAGCAGCGGCATACACCTGTCATTCCAGCACTCAGGAGGCTGAGGCAGGGGGAATCACCCTAAGTTTGAAGCCAGCCTGAACTACATTGTGAGACCCTGTCTCAGAAAAACCAAAACCGGGCCAGGGAGATAGTTCAGTAGAATAAGCGCTTGTCTGGCAAATGCAGGGTTCTGAGTTCAATCCCTGGTACTGCAAAAACAAAGAAACAACAACAAAACCCAACCAAACACACTAGAATTACTGAATTTCCTTTTTTTTTTTTTTTTTTTTTCAGAACCAGGGACTGAACTCAGGCCCTTGTGCTTGCCAGGGAAGCACTTATTCCACTGAGCCATCTCCCCTGCCCCTTCCTGAGCACTGGCTTCCGTGTGATAAGCAGCCCACCTCAGCTTGGTAACACTCTCGGACTGGGACAGAAGAATAAAACTAGGCAGAAGAAGACGAAAACAACTACAAAAACGCTGAAATTTCAGAATACACACTACATGCGCAGTTAATTCTCTCTCCCTCTCCCTCTCCCTCTCCCTCCTCCCCCCTCTCCTCCTACCCCCCCCCCCCCCCCCCCCCCCCCCCCCCCCCCCCCCCCCCCCCCCCCCCCCCCCCCCCACCTCTCTCTCCTCTCCTAGAAGCCTGAGCAATTCCCTTTCACCTGGAAGGGGGCCCAGCTCTTTTGTTTTTTTCATTTGCAAATGAGCCTCTGCCACCTGTGAAGAGGTCACCTTGGCGCCTAGGAGCTGGGATCGTTTCCCCTTCGAACCGTGCCGCTTCCCTGTCATCTCACCGCGGGGCCTCCCCGCCACTCCACAGAGGATATCGCACCCCGCTGGAGGCATCCCAAGACCCTACTCCTGACTGCGGGTCTCGGTTCTCTGAGGCCCCAAACCCCACTACTGAGTTCACCCTAAGTCACTCCCTGACAACCCGAGCCAAGCCGCTGCCCGGGAGCCTGCGACCTACATACAGAAGGGTGAGCTAGGCTCCCGCCGTAGCCTCGGGGATCTTCTCAGAGCCAGCAGGGCAGCAGAGGTGACAAGAGGCTTGCTATGGGAGGCAGCACCCTGCCGGGCCTGGCTGGGGAGCCAGGTGAAGAGGAAGCAAAGGCACCATCCCAGCCTTCAACTTACTGTAATTATTTTTCATTAAAACATAACCATGCTGGGCTGGCGACTCACACCTGCAATCCCAGCATTATGGACAGTTTAGGTACAAATGTTACAGGCAGTCAGGTAGGCCTGGGCCCACGACAGAGAGAAGACAGAGGTAAAAAGCCCCACGACTCTAGCCCCAGGGGGAGGCCAGGGCTTAAGAAAATAAAAGCCCGGCATGGTGGTGCACACCTGTCATCCCAGCACTGGCGAGGCTGAGGCAGGAGGATTGCAGGTTCAAGTCACACCTGAGGAGCCTCCAGAGCCCCTATTTCAAGATAAAATCTAAAAACAACAACTAGGGCTAGAGGTGTAACTCAGTGGCAGGGCATTCTTGAGTTCAATTCCCCAGTCCTGCGAAAGAGAAAGGAATCTAAAAATAACAGAACAAAAATAAAAAAACAGAGGGGGGCAAACCACTGGGTGTAGTGTTTTGGGGCAATGGAAATACAGCTTGGATTTGCACAGGAGATGCCTGGGGGGTCAATCCCCCGTACCAAACCAAACCCAGATACAGCACCCCACTTTCTGGAATGGCATGGGCTGTGGATCAGCGCAGAGTGGCCGAGTTAATTCTAAATCCCTCCCAGCTGCCTCTCCAGAGCGGGCCCCACCCAGGGCTGGGCGTGGGGGCTCTGGGAGGGAAAGCCTGTCCCCAAGTCCGGCCTGGACGTGGACTTCCTCAATGCTGTAAGAAGTCATCTCTCACACACGCTTGCATTTTTCCAAGATAACTTCCTTGTCAATATTGAATGAGTTCTAGAGTTCGAAAAAGGCAAAGAAAATAAACTTGGGGGTCTAAAAGAGAGCACAACCTGTATTTCTCAGCTTCCTTTGTAGTTCAACAAAATTAATTTACCCCAGGTGCAGTGCAGACGCTTATAACCCCCTTCTCTGGAAGCTGAGGCAGGAGGGTCGAAAAGGTGAGCTTAACCTTGATAATTTTGTTTCTGGAAAAGGGCTGCAGCCCAGGTTCAATTTCTCCTCTCGATGGATGTGTAAAAACTGGGCCAGAGAGATGGCTCAGTAGAGTAAGCACTTGCCTGGCAAGCACAAGGGCCTGATTCTGCCCAACAGAAAAGAAAAAGAAAATGTGAAAATGAGAGTACGCTTCTCATGCCCGCCTCCCTCCTGCGCATTAGGTTAGCCCTGGGGTGCTCCTTGGCTCCCACCACCACGGAGACGACGCCCACTCAGCCTCCAGGCTGCGCTGGGCTGGAGAATCCTACTTTCCACCACATCCGGACCTGTCGCTGGCGATTTCCAAATCTGCTGGGACGCAGGCGGCGCAGGGACACTGCCTGGCTCCACGTCCCGGAGAGCCTCCTGTCCCCGCTGCAGGCCCTGCGCGCAGGAGGTCCTGTTGCCCCCTCTCGTACCCCTAGACCGGGTCCCAAATTTTGTACTGAACGGACGGGGGCTGCGACAGCCACCTCCGCGGGGACCAAGGTGAACCAGTTCATTCGCCCACCGAGGGAAGCGCGCCCGCTCCAGCGCGGGGCGTTGCGGGGACACTCACCCGCCAGAAGTCATCCCGGAGCGTGCGACCACTCCGCCAGCTGTGCCAAGCAGGTCTTCCCGGAGCCGGGCGGGGAGGAAGCGGCCAGGATTAGGGCGGCGCCGCCGCGCACCCCACCCTCCCTTGGCAGAGCCCTGGGTCCCTGGCGCAGCCCACGCCTGTGTCTCCTGGTCAGTCCCTCTGATCGTCCCCGCGGAAAGGACCGCAGTGACCACTGCTCCCCGGAGACAGAGACCTGAGCTTTGTCTAACGCGGGGTCATTTATCACCTAAGTGGTGCGTGCAGGACTACGCCCCACTTTCCAGACAGGAAGCAGGCAGAGCGGAGCCGGCAGCTGGCAGGGGAAGGGGGTGGGCTGAGGGCGGAATCTGGGCTCTCTGTGCGCGCAGGAGGCCACTGCCCAGACCCCGGCCACCTGGGTGGTTCCACAGCATAGACCTGTGGCTGGTGACCTGGTGGCTTCCGCACCTTACCCACACCTGGGTGGGGCGGAGGCTGAGCAGAGAGCTGGACCAGGCGCCGGCTTCTCCTCTCACTCCCAGCCGGATCTTGTCAGGCTGAGGGCGCCTCGCACCGCGCGGTTCACCAGGATGCGCACTGAACAAGCTCCGCAGCGCAGCTATCGTCGGCGGGCTTCCCAGATACCATCTTGGGCCACCCCGTCCTTCTCCGCCGGTCGTCGGGCTTCTCTCTCCCCCTGACACCAACACAGCTGTCGTGTCGCCCTGTTGCGGCGGGCCCGCCTTGTCTTTTTGCCTAAACCGCGTCCAGCCTTCCACGCCAAGGCACAGCTTGCAGAGAAGTGCTGGCCTTTGGCCCAGCCCCTCCCCCACCCTGCCCCCAGGCCGGCTCCCGAGACCTGCAGGACCCAGGGAAAATCTGGCGGCTGAACTTTGGGCTGTAGTCACATACCACAAATACCTACTAGTGACCATAAAAAAACAAATTAAAAATAAAATAAAAAACAGGCAAATGGTGGTATTAAAAAAGAATTTATGAGTCCGGGTGTGTAGGCGCACACATGTCACTCCAGCGCCCATAAGGCTCAGGCAGGAGGGTCGCCGTGAGTTCAAGCTAAGCCTGGGCTCCATAGTAAGACCCTGGCTCAAAAAAAAAAAAAAAGTTGGGGCCGGGGAGATGGCTCAGTGGAATAAGCGCTTCCCTGACAAGCGCAGGGGCCTGAGTTCAATCCGCGGTTCCGCCAAAAAAAAAGAAAAAAGAAAAAGTTGGTTTCAAGTGGACATGACGTTTCATAAGCACAAGCCAAGCCAGGTCGGGTTTCTACGCGGATGTTTGTGATTGTACTTGCCGTGTCGCCAGCAGGATGCAGGGGACGCTAGTCACTTGAGGCAGAGCAATCAGAGGGGGAAAGGGGAGCCGGGACCACTCTGTCGGGAGAGCGCCCGGAGCTCCCCAGGACCGCAGCCTGGCTCAGGGCAGGAGCTGCCACTGCAGGTCCCCGGGGCTTCGGAGCAGGGGCAGCAAGCCCAGGGCACCAAGCAGGACTTGAGGCAGGGGCGACCCTTGGGCATCTGTCCAGGGGGAGTATGATGGAGCTGCTGCTCACCGGAACAGGGTGGTCACTGCCGCTGTCCGCTGCGCTTCCTGAGATGGAGTCTCAGACCTCAGGACTTGACTGTACTTTCGCTTTGTCTTATTTTGAGTCGGGGTGGGGTATCGCTATGGAGCCCAGGCTGGACTCCAGCGCGTGGTGGATCCTCTTGCCTCAGGCTCCCTGCTGCTGGAATGACAGGCTTGTGCCACCGCACCCGGCGGCGGCGCTGATCAGACGCACTTCCAGGGCCATCAAAGGTGCCAAGATCGTCTCGACTCCCTCCAAGGCCAGGATGCCCCCCCCCCCCGCCCTGGGGAAAGCTCTGGCACTTGATTGGTCAGGATTCAAAGTTTCCCACGCACCTTGTTCCAAACACCCTGCTCCCTAGGAAACATGACAATGTTAAGCCATGCAGTTATATGTAAAAGATGAGCAAGGCAATGATCCGGAAAATATTCAGAAGATTCTTTAATCTAGGAGTTAATTGGA